TGAAAGACCTGGAAGTTCTATGTCAACATTATCTTCATCATCAGCAATTACACCGTTTTTCGATACTATGGATCCTGCGACAAATGTATGTTTTACTATAAAATTGCTATCAGTCAAAACTTACAATGATGATTTTCTTTTGATGTAGGAAATGCTCAATCAACGTCTGGCAAAAGCTGTTTTCATCAGCGGCGCGCCATTCTCGTTAGTAGAACATCCATTATGGATCGAGTTTTTTAAAGCTATTCGCCCCGCATTCGTGCCTCCTTCCCGAAATCGTTTAGCAAGAACATATTTAGAATCACAGTATGTCGAAATGAAAAATAATGTTAATTCTACAGTTAATAATTGTAAGCACCTACATTTACAATATGATGGTTGGTCTAATCTGCGCAACGAATCCATTATAAATTTTTTAATATCTATCCCAGCTCCACTTTTTGTTGATTTTGTTTTTTCGGGGGAAAAGCGGCATACAGCAACATATTTGTACAAACAAATAAAAATAGTAATGAAAAAGTATGATACCGAAAAATTTCTGGTAGTCATTGGTGATAACGCGGCGAATATGAGAGCAAGTTTCAGACTACTGCAAGAAAAGTATCCTCATATTGTACCGCTAGGATGTTTGGCACGTTTGTTACATTTATTATGTGGTGATATTGTTAACAGTTCATCAATTAAAACAAAAATAGCAGATGTGATTCAAGTCACAAAAACTATTAAAAATAGTCATGTGCTTAAAGCAACTTTTGATCAAATAGGAAGAGAAAAAGGTGTTACAGTCGCTCTTAAATTACCAGCACTAACGCGATGGGGTAGTTATTTGGATTGTTTGGAAAGTGTGATGACTAATAAAAGTGTTATCCAAACCTTAGCGGTAACCGAAGGAGTAATAATCACATTAGAAATAAAGAAAAAAATTCTTGAAGATAACTTTTGGAATCATATCCAAAATATGATGTCGCTGTTAGAACCTATAATAAACTTATTAATAAAAGTGCAATCTAATGAACCACAAATAGATATTGTCTATAGAGAATTAATAAAACTGGAGTCGACTTTAATGGACATCATTAATGTCATCAATTTGGAAGAATTCGAAAAGGATAATATTATTAAAAAATTGGTCGACAGAAAGAAGTTTGCACTAGGCGACATACATTTTGCCGCAGATTTGTTAAATCCATCAACTCAAGGGTGCGATTTAAATCCCACTCAGTTGTTGGACGCAATGACATTTATATATAATATAGGAAAGCATTCTCATATAAATGAAATAAAGTTAAGATCCGAGTTAGTAAATTTTCGTGATAAAGAAGATATATGGGCAAAAACCATTTTATGGGACGGACATGATTCTATGCCACCATTTTTATGGTGGAGAGGTTTGAGGAGAACTTGCGAATTGGCAGATATCGCCATTTGGATATTAAGTGCACCCATAACATCAGCGGCAACAGAAAGAACCTTTAGCGCGTTTAGTTGGCTGCACTGCAAAAAAAGAAATCAGCTGACTACGACAAATGCCGCTAAATTAACATATTTAACTTACAATGATAATACATATAAAAGTAACACAAATCAAAATATAACAGATACCGACAAAAATGAAGAAAGCGATGATGAAATGGACGAAGACGAGCAATTGTCAACGATCCATGACCAATTTCTAGTTATATAGCATATAATGGTAAATATAATACTAAAAGTGATGGAGAAAGACGTTATGAATAAAAAATATTCCTAATGCATCAAGAAATCATAATCCATACTTATTTCATGTTTATCTATCACTAATGCATCATTGCATTAGGAATATAATACGGTTTCGTCATTGCAGGAACCGTTATGCAATAATATACAATGTAAATTATATTTAACCTGTACCTATATGTAATACTAGTTTGAATATCAGAAACCAGACGAATATTAGGAGAGTACCAGGCCAGGTTCAATGCTCGAGATCAACAACTGAGCAAATGGATATGAGGTCAAATTATTTTCTTTGTACTTTATCGACGTTATTTATTTTTTTGTTCTTTCTACATGTTTCGAGGAATCTGGGCCCTCATCATCAGGAAGAAATCGTCTATTTTTATGAATAAATTTCCACCATGTTCCGTTTTTCTATTTGTTGTTATTGATGTTTATCGATTACCTATATAACTTTTAATTTTCTTGTTGTTGTGGCGTGTTCATTAATAGAGGATTGTGAAAAAAACAATCCTGAAAGAAAATAATTTGACCTCATATCCATTACTACACGATGTTAAGAAGGCAAAACAACAATTACAACTGACCAAATATTCAGCGTCGGACAAGTAAACCAGAAACACTGGGAATACAAAATCAGTGATTTTATTAAATATTTATAAGATACTTTATAGTCAAAATAAAAATATTGATATATTTTTATTTTGAATAAATCATTTAAACATAATTAATTTTTTAAAATGTGTTGTGTTTTATGCTATTAATAATATACGTTCAATGGAAAGATAAAAATTCCAAGTTATTAAACATAAAACAAGGTGTGCCCCAAGGATCAATTTTAGGGCCCTTACTATTCATTATACAGGGTGATTTATAACATACGGAGGAGACTAAATGGGTAGATACTTCAGGTCAAACTGAATAGATTTTCTTAATAATGTTTTGTTAAAATCTTAATAGTTACATAGATATCGCATGTTAATTTTTTAAATAAGTTAGCGTCAACTTTTGAGAACCGCTGATATTCACTAAAGAACAATTAAAATACTTGTCAACGCCATCCTCATTTTTGAAGGAGCTGTCAAAGTAGACAATTTAATTGTTTAGTTTTAATACGTAATTTATGAAAAGAAATAATAGATGTTAATTTATGAAACGGATAATAATAATGTTTTAAATGCAAAATTACAAAATCTCTAAAACAAGAAAATAACATAATAATAATAATAATCATTTTATAACATATGTTCAAAGTGCTGTCCTTGCATTTCGACGCACAACTGCGCACGACGAATCCAATTTAACGATAATCGTGGAAATCGTGGACGTATGTCCTCTGTAGCGGCAGTGATGCGATGTCGTAGTTCGTCGATTGTATTAACCTCGGTGGCATATACTCTATCCTTCATGAATCCCCATAAAAAAAAGTCCAATGGGTTAAGATCGGGACTACGTGGTGGCCATGGAATAGGTCCACCTCGACCAATCCATTTTTGCCGAAAAGCATTATCGAGGAAATCTCGTACATTACGACTAAAATGTGCAGGACAACCGTCGTGCATAAACCACATCTCACGTCGCATAAGTAGCGGAATATCTTCCAGGAGTACTGGCAGATTTTCTTGTAAAAACTGTAAATAAGAAGTTCCATTAAGAGTTCCTGGTAATTCGAAAGGTCCTATTAACGTATTGTTCACAATTCCCGCCCATAGATTCACTCTGAATCGTTGTTGAAAAGAGCCTTGACGAATAACGTGTGGATTTTCGTCCGACCACACATGGGAATTGTGAACATTTAGAACACCATTTCTGGTAAAACAGCATTCATCCGTTACCAGTATACTGTCCGCAAAATCTGCTTCTCTGTTGGTACGATTTAGTAGCCACTCGCAAAATTGCAACCGCAAAGGATAGTCAGCGGGAGTCAGTCCTTGCACTTTTTGAAAATGATAGGGGTGTAAACCGTTACTTTTCAACGTACGCCAAACAAAATTCTGGGATACCTCGAGTTGGTGAGAAATTTGACGAGTACTCGTGCTTCGATCCGCTTCCACAATTTCTAGAATTTCTTCTTCCACATTCACTCCATGTCTGTTTAGTCTACCGCCACCAAGACCTTTCTTAGGTTGCAAATTTCCTGTCTCTCTTCCCCGCTGGATTAACCGAAGAAAAGTGTTTTCAGAAGGGATCTGTCGATTTGGATATCGTTCTAAATACAGACGTCTTGCGTGTGCAGCGTTTTCTCCAGCAGCTCCATAAATAATAAGCATATCTACGTATTCTTCGTTACTGTACATTACCATTGTATTTTTTGATTAGTAAAAATTCTAATTTTGACGTTAAATGACATTGATTATTAAAATTAAATGACATGTCCGTTGCTAGGTAACCAAGTCAACTGGATTGACAGCAATAAAAACATGGTATCAGCGGTTCTCAAAAAACAAACACCAGTTTTTGAGTGATTTAACAAATTTTTAAATAGCCGTAACTGCCATATTACAAAGATTTTATTATTGGTGCTAATCAGGCATTGCTTAAGTAACCCCGAAATATTCGCAGTTTGAATTTAAACGTAGTGTAATACCGTATATCGTAAGAAATGCTGGGCAATTAATTCAACTTTAATGCTCTATATCTTTGTGATTATTACGTTGTAGTCAAAACATTATTAAGAAAATATCTTCAGTTTGGCCCCTAGTACTTGCTCTTTCAAACTGCTCCGTATGTTATAAATCACCCTGTATATGTTAATGATTTGCCTGCCACGGTGAATGAAGAAATTGGCTTATATGCGGACGATACATCAATCATCGTAAAAAGTAAAGACAAGCGTGAACTAAAACAGAAGTCTATCAATGCAATGTACGAAGCGCAGTTATGGTTTGAAAGTAATAATCTGCAACTAAATCACAATAAAACAGAAAGCATAATATTCAGCACAAAAGCAGAAAATCGTGTCGGTAAGGCGAGGTTCCTCGGGTTACATCTCGATGGACGGCTGGATTGGCACCATCATATTGAGGCCCTATCAAAGAAGTTATTGTCATAAAGATGTACGACAAGTTGCATAAGAATTACATGACAAGCAACTCGTGTGTGTAGCTATAAAAGATCTGTAGAGTTAATATTTAATAAAGTTATATTTATAATTGTGCGACTCATTATTATAACATGGCGCAGTCAAGGAAGAACTAATTTCCAGTTAGAAGATAGGAAATATAAAAAAAAAAAGTAAAAAATAACCGAACAAAAGTAAAAAATACAAAGTGAGGTTAGGAAAAATGGAAAGTGTGGGAAGATTACCCGACCCTATGAAATTTGAAGGGAATCTCAATGAATACTTCAAAAGATTTCTCCAAAAGCTGGAAATGTATTTAATAGCATCCGAAAGAGACATGAAACCAGATAAGATAAAAATAGCAATACTATTAAACACAATAGGTAATGAAGGAATAGAAATATATAACACATTTAAATTCACTGATGCAGAAAAAGATAAATACGATGTTGTGGTGGATAAATTCAAAAAGTATTGTGCTCCACGAAAAAATAGAACATATGAAAGATTTGTGTTTAATAATCGAGTTCAAGATCCAGATGAGCCGTTTGATAGTTTTCTGGGAGATTTAAAGAAATTGGTTCAGTCCTGTGAATATGAAGATCAGGAAGAATCAATAATTGTTGATAGAATCATTCTTGGAACCAAAGATGTCCGATTACAGGAAAAATTATTAAATTACCAAATGCCGAAATTAGAAGATGTAATTGAAATGTGTCGAAATGCTGAGATAACAAGAAAACATATGGAAAATGTTAGAAATAAAGATGAGGCACACATAGATGCTATCAAAAAGAGGAGTATAGGAAAAGAAAGGAAAGAAGAAAAGAAAAATCAAGTAAGAAAATGCCATAAATGTAATAAATCACATAATTATGGAGAGTGCCCAGCCTATGGACAGAAATGTTTTAAGTGCGGAAAGCAAAATCATTTTACGGCTGTATGCAAAACAAATATAAAGAAAGTTCGAGAGGTAACCGAAAACGAATATGAAATCACGAAAGATGAAGATGAGAAGATGTTAGTTAGTAGTCTGGCAATGGTAGGTGAAATTACTATTGGAAATAAGTCAACTTGGATGGAAAAAATAAATATTGAGGGTAAATGGGTGCAATTCAAAGTGGATACAGGATCAGAAGTAAACATCATCCCAATGCAAATAATTCCAAATAAGCCGTTACAAGAGACAAAGGTTATTCTTGAAGCATATGGTGGGACGAGATTAAAGCCGGAAGGTAAAATTAAATTAAACTGTGCTCATAAATCGGAAAAAATAGATTTGGAATTCTTGGTTATAAATAGAGATGTAAAACCATTGTTAGGTTTGCCTAGTTGTTATAAGTTGGGATTTATTAAAGATNGTTTTTAGGAAACCCTTCATTGTACCACTCAATATATGTTTTTAGATTTTCGTCCTTTCGACCTTCTTTTTGTAGTTGTAACAAACGACTATCAGATATAGGTAATTCAGCACTCATGCAATGTACTACATCTAATAAGCTCTTATCTTCTTGTCCAGTATTTTTTAAGTAATTTCTTGACAGGAAGTCTGCTATATACATCTTTCATCCAGGAACACAAGCTATTGTTATGATATGATTGTCGTACGCTTTGTGAATTTTTTGCCGCCTTTATATTTTTCGAAATAGTTCTTTTAAATAAAAGGACAGAAAGTTAGACCTTTTTTATATTTAAAATATGTTTTTAATTATTAAAATATATCTAAATATATTTTAAACGGCTTTTAAAGTTAATGAATTGTCGCCATCGTTTTTAGGAACTTTCGTCGCTTTGCAATACCAATCTGTAATATTGGTTGCATATTTTGTCGGGTACGTTAACTAATTAACACACTATATTTGAAAATGTTAAAAATCGATCTCGTACATCATATTTTTATGTACTACGATTAGAAATGTTCGCAATTTAATAGTGATTTTTTTAATAATGTCATCCTTATTAACCATGCTTCTATACAAGTGAAAAATCAAACAACAAAAGTCGTTAGTTTTGCGAATATTAGTTTGAGTTAAGATTGAAAAAAATTATGTCTATTAAGTTTGACACACCTTTTCTAAGAAATCACCCTTCTCAAGTTATTTTTTCGAAAACTTACCATTTTTCTTTTCATAAAAAATATTATTGCCAGTTTTTCTCCAATACTTTCGTATGCTATTTGTATTTTTTCTAAAATAATTTACCAACTTTGTTAGACGATGTTCCACTCAATATCTACGGAGAATTGTGGTTTCAACAAGATGGGGGCTATTATGTCTTGCAAAAGGACTGTTTCAAATAAAGTTGACCTAAGGAAAGAATAAACAAAAAGAATTATTAATTTATTTATTATTACTTTTATTGAATTATTTTCTTAAGCATATACTCAACTTATTTGCCGTCGGCACTAATACAAGCTCTGCATCGCCGCAAAAAATATCTTTTTACTACTGGAGCAAATCTCCTTGGATTTATTTCTTTTGCTGCTACATAAATATTGTGATGCAGTTCTGCAAGATTTTTAATCGGCTTTGAATACTTTTCTTCTTTTATAGAACCCCAATAAAAAATCAAGGGGATTTAGGTGCGGAGAACGAGGAGGCCACATAATCGAACCAAGGCGTCCATTTCATCTTTCAGGTCATTATGTATTCAAGTAATCCCATACAGGACGAACATAATGAGCTTGGCAACCATCTGGTTGAAACATTTCTCCGTAGATGTCTGTTACCTCTTAACTAAGAGACATGGATTTTTTTTCTTGTTTTTACCAGAACAAGTATTGTCATACAAAAGAAAAGTTTATTCAAGAAAATATAGATGTATTTGAAGGATTGGGAACTTTCAATGATTTATGTAAAATAAATTTAAAAGCAAATAGTGTACCCGTTGCTAAACCATGTAGACGTGTTCCGTTAATTATAAAGAAAAAGTTATATGAAAAACTGCAAAACTTAGAAAGACAAAAAATAATTGCTAAAGTAACTGAAGCTAGTGAGTGGGTTAATCCTCTTATAATAGTTGAAAAACTTAATAAATCATTAAGATTATGTTTAGATCCGCACGAGTTAAATAAATGTGTAGAACGGGAGTTTTTTGAAATGCCGAGCTTAGAAGATCTGATATTAGTAGTAAACTGTAAATAAATGGTAAAACGGAAAATGGTAAAATAGTTATTTACGATACAAATGCGGAAAGGCTCGCTTTTCACATGAGCATGCTAGTTTGCAGAACGAACGACCGAAGGGAGTGAGTTCTGCATTTGCGTGCGAATGCTGGAAAAATTCTTTCCGCATGAGTATTGTACAATATTTTTTGTAACGAATAAAACGTCCCTGCGTGACGATATGAGTTGCATGTGGCGTTTTTGACAGGAAAAAATCAACCGAAATTCAAAACGTGATTGATTTTATTGATTGCAAATTGATTTTTATAGATTTTTTTAAATATTTTAAAACTGTGTTATCTGCACACGAATGTATAAAACGTTCTTATTAACCTTTTGTTATAAACATGCACATTTGGTCATTAATTCATTCCTTCCTGTTAGTTGCGGTAACAAAAAGCATTTGTGCGGGAAAACGCGTTTCCCGCACGTCCTCTCTGTGCGGGAAATAGGTATCCCGATGCTATGAGTACAAAAAGTATTTTTCAGTATTAGATTTTAAAGATGGTTATTACCAAATCAAATTATGTAATGAATCTAGTAAACTTACGACCTTTTCCATTCCATTTGGCTCCTACAAGTTTCTGAGATTGCCTTTTCTTTCCTTTTGGTCTAAAAATAGCAGCCTGAATATTTTCAAAAAATAAATAACAAAAATTTTTGAGATATTGAGAATACAATCATTTATTTTGATGATTTGTTGATTGCAACAAATACGTTACAAGAACATGATGAAACTTTAAGAAAGGTTATACAGAGGGCAAGAGAAAAAGGTGTAAAATTGAATAAAGAAAAACTCCAATTTAGAAAAGGTAGTAAAATACATGGGACATATTTTCAGTGCAGAGGGAATGAGACTAGATAGTGAGAAAGTGAAAGCTATAAATGATTTAAACCACCTAATGCTAAAAAAGAGTTGCAAAAGCTGTTAGGCTTAATCAATTATGTAAGAAAATTTATTCCCAGATTAGGAGAAATAGCTAGTTCATTGTGTCAACTACTTAAAAAGGATGCAGAATACCAATGGTTGCATGTACATGATAAGGCATTACAAAAAATTAAAGATGAGATTAATAAAAACACTACTTTAATGAATTTTGATGATAAGAAACAAATTGTTATTCAAACAGATGCATCTGGAAAATGGTATTGGGTGTTGCTTGATGCAGGATGACAAGCCGGTGGCTTATGCATCTAGAGGACTTAATGATGTTGAAAAGAAATATGCAGTGATAGAAAAAGAGTTATTGGCAATTTCACAATTACATTTACGGGAGGACAATCAAAGTAATCACTGATCATAAACCTAACGTTAGTGTAATGAATAAGGAGATTTGTAAAATAAACTCGCCTCGTTTACAACGAATACGATTAAAGTTGTTAAAATATGACATTGATATCGATTATCTGCCTGGTAAATACTTACACGTTGCAGATTATCTGTCACGAAATTATAGTAATGAGATTGGTGAAGTTGATAAAGATCTGTCGGAAATGGTTCATACAGTTGAAAGATATATAAGAATGAGCGAATCGAGAAAAATCGAATTTAGACATGAAACAATGAAGGATGATACTTTAAAGGAAGTGATCAGAAGTTATTACCATGGTTGGAATAAAACTTATAATGGAGAAATGAAAGTATATTTTCAAATACAAAGTGACATAGACGTGCATAATAGTGAGTTTACACATGCATGGATTTAGTGGCGCCAATAAAAACTGGCGCGCCAGTAAAATTAAATTGCATGTGTAAACATCAACTGGCATGCAAGTTGAAACCATGCATGCATGGATTGGAAAAGGCTGCACCCTTCTGAAATTACTGGCGCCAATGATGAGTCTAAAACATGTACCCATGGCAACATAGGTGAGTGTCCATAAAAATACAAATTTTTTTAATGTCAAATTTAGGTTGTTTCATTGCATTCAAATTAAATCCCAATTACGTTAACACAATCAACGATAACGTATAATTATCCACCTTAAACCTAGAATATATCTATTTTCCTTTCGGTTTAGGTTCTAATTTGTGTATATAGTTGTAGTTTATATAATAAAATTTATATACGTAGTATGGCTAAAAAAAGTGGTCGGCAGAACAAACAATAAAATTTATTGAAAACTATGAATCTTATCCGTGTTTATGGGACGTACATAGCAGTGCTTATAAAAAGATGGCCGAGAAAACGCGTATCAGAAACTTTGCGAATTAATGGATATTGAAGGCTTGGAAATTGCTGAAGTGCAAGCAAAAATACGTTCCATTAGAAATGCGTATGCTGTAGAATTAGCGAAAATTAAGAAAAGCCAACATTCCGGAGCAGGTATGGATGAATTATACAAACCAAAAGTGCCATGGTTTGCGGTAGCGGACAGAATTTTGAAGCATGTTGTACAAATAAGAGAAACACAGGCACACAAATTGTAAGTTTATATACAATTTTTCAACAAAAAAAAGTTTGTTAAAAATTTAATTATTTACATTCTATGGATTATTTATTATTTTCATTTGCCATGGGACAGCTCCGTCACCTATAAAGCAATCAGCTAACTTATTTCTGAGCTCTGCAGCTTTTTTAGAATAATTACGGCTCTCGGCGGCTGATCTTAAATCTGTGAGTCCTTGACTTTGAATTTCCTGTCTCACAGACCTTCTACTAGTCTACCATTTTCAAAATCTTCAACGTCTACACTGTTTCTGGTTATATATCCATCAGATGTTTTGCGCAACCAGTTGTGTAACGCACAAGTGGTTTTCACAAGAATGTCAGCTTTTTCGGGAGATAACGCAATGGGTTTTTCAAATATACGAAATTGAGAAACAAGCAATCCAAATGCGTTTTCTACGATACGCCGAGCACGCGAAAGCCGGTAATTAAAATTTTTTTCTTTTTGTGTTAGGGGACCATGGTGTGAATACGGTTTTAGTAAATATTCTTTAAGGGGAAAAGCATCGTTACCTACAAACACGGTATTTGGGGGAACCTTCAGTAAATTATTTTCTATTGCACTCTTCAAACTGCTTTTTGAAAATACCCCTCCATCAGATGCTCTTCCGTTTGCACCCACATCTATATATTCAAAACAGTATTGCTCATCAACTAATGCAAGGAGTATAATACTGAACGTTCCCTTGTAGTTGTAAAATTCTGAGCCTGAATGGAAAGGACTTCGTAATATAATATGCTTTCCATCTAAAGCTCCAGCACAATTTGGAAAATTCCACCGTGTGGAAAATCCTTGAATAATATTCTTCCATTCTTGTTCAGAGCTTGGCACCTGAAAATAATAACTTTAAAAATACTTACTAAAATTTATTTTTAAAGATATCGAGTTTTTATTATGTATTTATTTTTAGGAAATTGAATCAGAATCACAACTGAATAATTTTCTAGAAAATACGCAGTCGGCAACTATCGAGATACTGTCGTCTTCCCCGAATGAGTCATCCGTAGCCAGAAAACCAATCGCACAAAAACTAACTTCGAACTTTGCAGTCCCAAAGAGAGTTCGAAAAAGGACAAGTAGCACCGATCGGACTATACAAGGGCTACAGGAAATCGTACAGAAATTAGATAAAAAGCCTAAGATAGATGAGGACAATGAGTTTGATTGTTTTGGCAAGTCAGTGGCTTCTTCGTTGAAGAAGCTACCAGAATCAGTTGCTTTGGAATCAATGGAGTCCATACAATCGTATCTTGTACGTCGACGGTTGTCAAATACCCAGTATTCCGAGCAAATATCACGACCTTCTTTATCTGCCTCATCAAGTAGTTATGAATATACTGCAAACCCATGTTCAAATTGTTCTTACGATGACTTTAATTTACGTTTCAATCTTCAGCAAGAACAGCCCGATCTGCTTTTACAGGCAATAAATACTTCATCGTATGACGACAATAATTAAGAAATTTTTGTATTTGTTAGCATTATTTAACCGAAATTACAAATGTTGGATTTCTATCTTTGTGTTTTATTATGTATCTGCTTACCTTAATAAAGTCTTTTAACGCATCATAAATGGCTTGGCAAACTTCAGGGATAAAATTTGAAATTGTGCATTTTGGGACACGATACAAATATTGCAATGAAGCGAAAGAATCTCCTGTTGCGAGATATCTTAATGTTACTTCCAATTTTAATTGTGGTGTTAACGCATCTCTCATGTGGGTATCCATTCACATGATCACACAATCCAGAAGAATATCAAAATTTTGCTTCGTCTTTCGTAAATGGTTTTTATAGCTTGCAGAATCTTCTGCTGCGAGTTCTGGTAAAAGTTTTGCAGAAGCACCCAAAGTAGGACCAATCCATGGTTTAACCCAGACACGACCTTTTCTTCGTTTCTTTTTCTGCATTTCCTTTATCTTTTTTTCCACTAAAAGTTTGGCTACTATTTTGCATGCTTCGTAAAGCTCATTCAACATATTGCACTGTGTGCAATACACTTTAAAAATGAAACTGGCGTGTCACTTATTTTTTACATGTGCCACGCCAGTGGCACATGTAATGTAAACCTTTACTGGCGTGCAAGTAGAACTGGCGCCACTAAATCCATGGATGTCTAAACTCACCTTAATGGAATGGTTTTTGTGGGAGATAGAGTGGTCGTACCTAAATCATTAAGACAGGAAATGTTAAAAATTTTACATGAAGGACATTTTGGTATAAACAACTGCGAGAGCTGGTCAAGTCTTATTTTGGCCTGGTATCGCTTAGTCACATTAAACAAATGATCGAACGTGGCGCAGTTTGTGAGAAATACAGATACGCAAACATGCGAGAACCTCTTATACCACACGAAATCCCAAACTTGCCTTTTCAAAAGATTGGATCTGACATACTTCAATATGGTAAAAAGTCATTTTTAGTTATGATTGATTATCTGACAAAGTGGTTAGAAATTATACCTCTCAACTCAAAACAGTGTTCGGACATAATAAATGCTTTTAAGAATGTGCTTGCAATTCATGGTGTGCCGGACATTGTTGTGTCGGATAACATGCCCTACTCGTCCTTTGAATGTAGAAAATTCGCAAAAGAATATGATTTTGAATTTAAAACCAGCAGCCCGAGATATCCAAGATCGAATGGTTTGGCAGAACGCTTTGTTCAGACAGCTAAAAATATACTTCGTAAAACTAAAGATCTAGATGCTGCTTTGATGGAATATCGAAACACACCAATTACAGGGTTAATGAGATCTCCTGCTGAACTTTTGTTTTCTCGAAAGATTAAAACGAAGTTACCCATAGTAGAAAAAATAAATGAGGAAATCAAGAGCTTTAGAAATGATTTAAGCAAGAAACAAGAAATAATGAAAAAATTCTATGACAAGGGAACACAACCATTGAAAGACTTAAATGTGGGAGAAAGGATAGTTTATAGAAAGAACAAGGAGTGGCAGCCAGCCGTAGTTATAGGTAAACATGAAAGTCCAAGATCATACTTAATAAACACAGGACTGAATGTACTAAAAAGAAATCGTCAAGTCTTGAGAAAATCAGTAACTGACAGACAACTACCTACAAATATAGAAGAGAGTACGATTTCTCTTGCTCTTTCAAAGGACGTTGATTCTAATCATGATAATAATAAGTTAGGTGATAAAGTAGAAAATGCTATTGTACCTTTAATTACAAATAATGAACAACCAATTGTCAATTTAAAAACTAAGCCGTTCCGAATAATGCGAAAGCCGACTAAATTTAACGATTATGACATGTATTAACTTGATAGGAGAGGTGTCATAAAGATGTACGACAAGTTGCATAAGTATTGCATGACAAGCAACTCGTGTGTGTACTAGCTGTAAAAGATCTGTAGAGTTAATAGTTAATAAAGATATATTTATAATTGTGCGACTCATTATTATAACAAGTATAGATTGACCTCTCTAAGTACCACCTGTATAATGATTAATGAAAGATTTGAGTAATAAAAATGATTAGATTTTCCATAAAATTTATTTCAAGATCTAAACATTGATAATACTTAACAAATGATTTCGAAAAAAAGAAATTCTTGACTGTAAACAGTAAAATCAATACTTAGTATACCACAGATAAAAATAAATTGAAATATGCTAAACAATATTTATCACAATGTTAAGTAGAAATAAGAATTAAAACTCGAATTAACTATGGCCACCAAAAAATTGAAACTAAAAAATTTAATAACAATAAGTGGAAATCACTGCGTTTTTAAAACAATCAAGAAAAAAAAATACTAAACAATTAATAATAATTACCAATAAAAATTAATAGAAATGTATATAGACATGTAAATTCAAAAGAAAAATAATAGAAGTAATAATGATAAAGTTGAATGAATTATCGTCTATACATACATTTTTTTTGTACTTTTAAGGTTTTGTAATTTTTTTTGTATTAATTTTTTTGTATACTAATTTAAGCCACAAATCAAAGCTGTGTTTTCAGAATTACTTAATTAAAAACTACCCTATAAAAATGTACTTTTAAAATTCCATCACAAAGTAATAAAAAGTTAACTAAAATAATTGAAACCAGTTAAGGAATTATTCCAGAAAATACAGCCAAGTTTGAGCCCAACTAACTAATTAATTAAAATCGAGTAGTACAAATTGGTGCTCGTATTACAAAAATGTAAAAACCTCTTAATAAATATTTAGTTTAAATATCCAAATCGAATATATCCAAATTTCCTTCTTCCTCTTCTTCTGCTTCTTCATCATCCACAGCCTGCGCTTTGCGCTTATCTACATTATTTGTCTCCGGTTCGTTAGTCTTAGAATCCCTCTCCTTGAGCTCATCCAACTCAGACATTTCGCTCTCACTGTGTCTTCTATCATGAGCACGTTTTTTATTTTTTGCTTTGCGTTGATTCTTCTTTTTTTGCCCTAATATACTCGAATTAAATCTGCAACATTAAATCATAAAAAAAATTATTAAAGAAGTTTACATATATTCTATATAATAAATTTGTAGTAATTAAGAAATGTGCAAATAAAACGTTTTTAAACGAAAAAATTTCAATTTTGAACAGGTGCTAGAGTGCAGATAAATTTTATTTTTTCGATATTCTATATAGTTTCGCGGAAAATTGCAGTTTAGTAAGCAAGATTTGACCAAAATATGTATAAATGCGTTTATCGAATACTGTTATTAATTTTCCATACTTATGTCTCTTAAATTTTTATAGAGCAATTAAAGCGAATTATAATGTAAAAAGAAACAGAAATAACGAGCGGTTGCGAAGATATCGATCACTAAAGTGAAAGGCCTTGAGTTTTGGCATGGATAATAGTTATCTGTCAGCAGTACGTTATAAAATCGGTATCTGCAAGCAATGATTAGTCATCTGTAAGCAATATATGTGTACTCCTTTATCAGCAGCATCTAGTTTTTTGCCAGCAGTGCTTAGCCTTCTATTTGTAGTATCTAGTCATCTGCTAACAGTATGTTATGCCAGTATATGTAGGCAGTATATGTTCCTTTATTACCAGCATCCAGTTTTTTGCCAGCAATATCTATTCCTTTGCCTCTATATAGTATCTAGTCTTCTACAATATCTATAGTTATGCCGTTGGTATCTACAAGCAATGATTAGTCATCTGTAAGCAGCAGATACTCGTTTATTAGCAGCAGTATCTAAAGTTGTATCAGCAGTGTTTGGACTCCTATAATCAATATCTATTGTTTTTTGACTTCCATTAACAGTATCTAACATTCTATCGGTAACTTCTACTCTTGTCAATAGTATCTAGATTTTTCTCTAAGCGGCCATTCCACCCCTTCGATTTATCAACGCATAAGTTCGAATTACAATGACGCTTCATCTTTCAGAAAAAAAAACTCCACTCGTCGTATTTTAACGTGGATTATCCAAACAGTGCTGGACTATCAGGTCGGGGTGCTTTATGTACAGATGCCAATGCAGTAATCTTGTAGTTGATAAATAAGGAATTTAACCATGAGTCAATGTGATGATGAATATCTACTTAATACATAGGTTCTCAGTTGCTCAATCAACAGCATTATTTTCATTTTTGGATTTATTTCAGTCTCATCGTTGATAGGAATATCAATTTTAAAGTGTGGCTAGTGTGCACACCAATCTGCAAATTAGTCATTGAATTTCACCTATCCATGTGCCATTCACAGGAAGTTGTTGGACAAAATACCTAAAATATGGATGGAAATAATTTTTGGACCTATGATTCTTTTGGCACTTTTCTTGTAGTCTATGTTGGACTGACCACTAACTAAATTAGTACGTTAGCCGAATTTATACGATCTTTTGATCTGAACTGTGCTAGTAAACAACCAATAGTTGAGTGATGTGAAAGCGGTGGTATAGATGCCGTTGCTATCTCATCGCAACTTCCCGTAGATTCATGCTTGTTGTATGTATAGAAACTATACATCCTTCATTAGCAATACAGTCATCTATTAGTACTATCTAGGCATCTATTAGCAGCAATTACTCTTTTACCAACAGTAAGCAGTTTTGTACAAGCAGTATCCGATCTATTATTAGTAGTATCTAAATCCTTGTATCAGCTCTTCTTCAACAAGCTCTGCTTTATCACACGTTCTTTACTAGATGGTCGGTGACTGTATACTCTGTATGTGCTTGGACTTTTTGCTAATATTTAGTCGTCCTTTGATCTTTCTACGACTAATTACATAGATCTTACGTATTCTCAGACACCCAGTCTTTTTTAAAGTTTAAGATGCTTTGATTAGATCCATGTATCTTCAACGTCGCTGTCTGCTTGTTCTTGTTTCGGTAGCATCTCACAGCGATTCCTTTTGCTGAAACTTTCTTTTAGCAGCCATAGTCTTCAGTCGTAAATTTGCAACAAGGTGGTGATCGCTGCCACAGTGGGCTAATCGTTTGTTCCTAACGTCCAATAAAGACCCTCTAAACTTCCTGTTCAGTGCTATATGGTGTATCTGTACAGGTGTCCCAATTTCGATGTCCGCATAGGCTATCTCCGAAACTAAAAGAGATAGAAAAAAAGTAGCTTACATGTCATGATCTCGTTTTTCGAGAAAATGCTAATGCCGAAAACTCCGAACAGCTATCATCTTTTGTTTTCGCCCTATCGGCAAAAACTGAAAATTTTTCGAAAACGACATTCGCGAATATCTCACTTATTATCAACGATAGAGTATTATAAATAAAACATTATATGGGCAACTTTTTACGAAGAATTCAGTGGCGTGGGTAGAATTTTTTCCTATCTTTTATTTTCGAGATTATAGACGTAACTTAATTTTTTTAAATGGAAACCATAGTTGGCTATGACCTAAAATAATTTGTTATTTTTTTCTGATAACAAATATATATAGTTTGTGGGGTATATTCCTTATAGTTATTGAATAATTAACAAAAATTTATTTTGTTTTATCTAAAACTAATGTATATATTTAAAAGCTATGTTGCTATGGTGATAACCATACATGATGGGACATAATGTATCAAATAATTGCTTAAGTTTGTATTTAAAAATTCGATAACAACTCTGGCATTATGTGCTGGTACGAAGCACCAGCATGTTAAGTGTCAAAGTATAACAAAACTGAATAAAACTTTACAATGAATTTCGAAAATTATGAAAACTGTAACATGATGGAATGCTACATGATGGGTTCTTACGTGCGGTAAGAACCTTCAGCCGGTTAGCAGAAAATTTAATAGTTTTTTGGTCCTTCCCCAAACCACGTGCAAAAACATACCAAAATGGCCTGAAGTCAATGTGTTGGCTTCAGATGCGATAAATCCATCAACATCTTGCAGAGAAATTGAACATGACGTCTGACCCAAAAGCCGCTGCTCCCGAATATGAAAGAAAAATATGTATAAACCATAGAAAGCGGGGCTGACTCATTATTTACGTGCCGGAGATGTCAATCTAAGATTAGAATTTTGTAGATGATATTTAGAAAAATTAAATAATCTGCTGTTTGTTCAAAATGTCATCTGGACCAATGAAGTCTCTTAGTGTTCGAAGAAGGTTGGGGTTCAATGTATGGTGTGCCCTTTTAGATAATAGAATGTTGGCATACAGTATCTACCATAAAAACTTAAAGTCAGGTAATACCTCAATATATCAAGGCAGCACATTGTGCCTTTGGTCGACAATTTGCCATTAAATAAGTCTCAAATGATATATTTTCAATATGACAAAGCACCAGCACATAATGCCAGAGTTGTTAGTGAATTTTTAAATACTACTACAAACTTTGGCAATAATTGGAAACAATGGGCACGTTCAGCGGGTGTCAACTGTTGAGTTGCTGTATTAGCAGTCGCAGCTGAACGATACGCTAAGTCAGCGCTGTTACGCAGCAGTTTAGTAAATATCTCAGCGTAAGTAATCTGCGCTTAGTTTGTCAGCGGTTGTGAAATTCTAGGTTAGGATTAATATTTTTTGTTTCTCCCCTTTAATTTTGAAAACTAGCAGAACTGTATAAAATGAAATGAGCCTTAAAATCAACATCATCATCCATTATCTCTTGTAATAACACAAAATTTTCAAAAATATTATTGTTGGCCATAGTTTTAGGTTATGCTGAACTGCTAATTCTCAATTGCTTGTTCAGCCGATTTCGTTCCGCTGTATTAAAGCTCATACAACTAGCTGACTGATTTAATTCCACTGTTGACACCTGCTGAACGTACCCAATGTTTTCCATCATGGTATGGTTATCACCATAACAACATTAAGTTTTAAATACATGCAATAGTTTTAGAAAGAACAAAAAAAATTGATACATTATGTTCCATCATAGTATGTATGGTTATCACCATAGCAACATTAACTTTTAAACACATACATTAGTTTTAGATAGAACAAAATGAATTTTTGTTAATTATTCAATAACTATAAGAAATATACCCCACAAACTATATATATTTGTTATCAGAAGAAAATAACAAATTATTTTAGGTCATAGCCAACTATGGTTTCCATTTAAAAATATAAAGTTACGTCTAAAATCTCGAAAATAAAAGATGGGAAAAAAATTCTACCTACGCCACTGAATTCTTCGTAAAAAGTTGCCCATATAATGTTTTATTTAGAATACTCCATCTTTGATAATAAGTGAGATATTCGCGATTGTCATTTTCGCAAAATTTTCAGTTTTTGCCGATAGGGCAAAAACAAATGACGATAGCTGTTCGGAGTTTTCGGCATTAGCATTTTCTCGAAAAACGAGATCATGACATGTAAGCTACTTTTTTTCTATCTCTTTTAGTTTCGGAAATAGCGTATGCAGACATCGAAATTGGGACACCCTGTACAGGGTGGGCAAATTTGTGTGTTATTATAGGCTATCTCAGAAACTATAAGAGATACGAAAAAAGTAGGTGCCATGTCCCGGTCTCTTTTTTCGAGACTAACTCAATCCCGCAAACACCAAACCTCTATCTTCTTTTGTTTTTAAGTTATAGCCAAAAAGTCAAATTTTCGTGATTTCAAAAAATGTTCATATTTCATTTATTTTTGAAATTAGAGAAATGGGGTTGATACGTTCTTAAGACACTTTTTTAAGTAGAATATACTGCCGTTGAAAAATTTTAAAAATATTCGATGATTTTTGAGATACAACACAAAGTTGTATTTTTTTAAAATACAAACCATAGTAGATTATGGTGTTACTGAAAAGAGCATATTTTTAGCTTTCCAATGATGTATTGCACGTATGGTGTATTTGGGGAAAATACTTAGTTACTATATACATAGGCACTTAGTTACTATAGTAACGTGAGTTTACTGATCATTTCATTCATGAATTTTTCGAAACGAGTTTACCGCTTAAAAATTCCTCATTATCTTTAAATACATAAAGCGATAAAATTAAAAAATGAATCTTTGAAAATGATAGATAAGGCTCCATATCCCATATAAACATCGTTTCAAGTCCGCTGCCCAGTTTATGATCCCTAATCTTCCTCTATCTCACCCAATTTGAAAAGAAAAGGTTACTAATATGAAAAAACTTCTAAATCTCATGGTTGGGGAAAACTGGGAAGATACTACCGAAGATTTCATTCATTGATACCCAGCTGTTCTAACCTTACAACCAGTAAGTTTAGTAGAAGAAGATGACAGTTTGTGACTGTTTAGTTCCTGAAGTTGTCCATATTTAATTATTCATTATTAATACATTTCTTGTATTTTTAATAAACAAACTTTACTTGCTAACCTTTTTTTATTGGTGAACAAAGTCAGGGATAAGATCTTGAGAAATTTAAATTAACTATTCAAAGTTTTTATTCGTTGGTACACAACCAACTTTATCCTGAATAATAGTACAAAACCACCTTTATTCTGTCACATTATAGCCACTAGGTAGTATTTATTGTCCGAACCCGCCTACTATAATCAAAATTTTGAATAATTTGGCGCTTACTATTTTGGAATTGAAAATTAACGCTTATTTTCTGCAAATACACCATGCGTGCAATACATCATTGGAAAGCTAAAAATATGGTCTTTTCATTAACATCATAATCAAGTATAGTTTGTATTTAAAAAATCATCAAGTATATTTAAAATTTTTCAACGGCAGTATATTCTACTTAAAAAAGTGTCTTAAGAACGTAACAACCCCATTTCTGTAAATTGAAAAATAAACGAAATATGAACATTTTTTGAAATCACGAAAATTTGACTTTTTGGCTATAACTTAAAAACAAAAGAAGATAGAGGTTTGGTGTTTGTGCGATTGGGTTAGTCTCGAAAAAAGAGACCGGGTCATGGCACCTACTTTTTTCGTATCTCTTATAGTTTCTGAGATAGCCTATAATAACACCCAAATTTGCCCACCCTGTACATTATTTTTAATGCTACTTTAACATAAATTTTTTCTAATGTTACTATCTTATATGTTTGTACATTGTAGGGTCTAATCTACTGATGAAGGGCAGGGCCCGAAACCAGGTCTAGACGATAAATTAATGAATTATTACCAAAGTATTAAAATTATGTACATAATTTTTCTTTTAAAATATTATCACATGATGAAAATTGATATATCCTATTACAAAAACAGTTTTATGTTGCACATTACTTTTAAACTATATTATATGTTTCATATCTTACCTATACAATTGTTTTAAGACGACATCATTAAATCTGACGGTTTTCTTCAAACTCGACGAAACTTCCCCATCCTCTGGAATGATAGAATCTAAACTAGCGTGACAATTTTCAAACGATGACGCCCAAAGGAAGTCGTCAATACTAGATTCAGAAACGCTACGACTTACCGAGCTACAAGACCCCGGAAATCGTTTTAAAATACCCTTAGACTTACTCGGACTATAACTCGAGCTCAATTCATCTCCACTCGATTCCGAAACAGCACCTTCAATATCAATCGCTTTACTCATAGGCGGTTTATTTTCATCTTCATTCAACTTCTCAATCTCAATCTGTACATTTTTCGTGCGTTTAAACTTTTTTTTTGAGCAACTTTTATTTTCTTGTACATGTTTAAGATATTCAGAGGAGTTCTCTTCAGATTGGGTCGACGTCGACGGTGGGGTATCATTTAAAAACTTCTTATCCACTTCATTTTCATTTAAACCAACCAAATAAGAATCGATTTTACTCAAATTAATTGGAATTTGAATGATGACGTTGTTATCCCAAACTTCAACTGATAAATCATCTTCTTGAATTGAATTTAATTCGATGTAAAAAGAATAAGATACTGGATAAAATCCTGAACTTACTGTGGAAAATTTAAGGTGTAAAGATTTGGGGGTGGTTAATTTTTTTAATGAGGATTCGTCGACGTTTCTTGTTTGTAAAGTTAGTGTTAAAATGTTTTGGGAGAAATGGGAGGAGAATTCGGGGAATATGTATTGAATGTTGGGATCAAGGAAATTATTATTTTTTATTTTTAATTCTTTTGGGTCATCTAATATAGTGATTAATTCATCACTTGAAAACTCAGTGGGGCTTGAACCATGGTCACTTTCAACTCCACTATCATCTATTGCATCAATAATACTTTTTCTTTTAACCGGTAAAGTAATAACTAATTTTTTTGAGTCTTGTGCAAATTTAGCATTCCCCATATCTTGATTTACACAATAAGGTAGAGTTAATTCTAATTTGTATTTAGATGGTTTTTCACTAATTAATTGGACTGTTTTTTCTGTAACATCTAAAGTGATATCCCCAGCTGATTTTAACAAAGGTAAATTAATCTCTATAATTAATTCTTTAGGTATGGTACAATTTATTTTACAATTTTTATCCTCAGTAAACTCCTCCAACTCAATATTACTCCTATGTTTGATCATATAATTAGGTATTGTGTATTTACTTGCATTCTCACCCTCATTTCTTTTCACTTTAAATTTACAAGGAATTTGTTCCTCCACTTTGGGTAAAGTGTCATACAATTTATCCATTAAAACTTGTTCTTGGGGTTCTAAAGGTTCTGGTTTAGATTGTGATTTTTTACGGATTATTGCTGGATGTGCCATCCCTTTATATTGCATTTTAGGAAATTTTAAATTCTTACAATCAAGTTTAACATTAAAATTGGACTCAACAGCTTCACAGGCCGTGTTATTAACCATATTCAAAAAAGCTTTATTATTTGCAGCTAAATATAAAGTATCAGGATGAAAAACAACATCGAAAACTTCACATCGTACCCCTTTTTTATCAATATCTTCTCTTGGTGGAGCTAAAGAAAACGGTAAATTCCAATTTAAACCATTCTGCCCTTCTTGAACACTTCTTTTTGAAGAGGGTTTTTCGATATTTTCGTTTTTACAAATGTTAATGAAAGCTTTTTTGGTACCATTTAAGCTTGTTTTGATTACATACCCAGCACTTGGATTAATGAAGGTCACGTCGTATCCTCGTTCTTTTTCTAATTGGGTTATTTCGTTTTGATAAAGTTTTTGATTTTCGGGATCTCTTATTTCATCAACGTAATCGCACAATAATTTTCTAAACTCTTTGTTTTTTAAGGCGTCCCCCAATTTTTCGACTTCATCACGGGTTAAATCCATGTCTCTAAGCTTATCGAACGAACCACCACAAGCCATCGTTGTTGTTGTTATTATAAAACTCTATAAGTGTTATCTTTTAAACGTTTTACGTGTTGTTATGATGCAACGTAATAAAAAACTCGCGTAGAATGAAGTTCACGTGGGCGAATCAGAGGAGATAACCGGCCGGTAACCGAAGCGGTTATTTTAAAATGTTCGTTCAAATTCTATAAAGAAAACGATGTACGTGGATGTACGGAATTGTTTGGTCAATATTTAACTTTAGTAACTACTTTAAAAACTCACGATTACGAGTTTAATTTGGTAAGATTGTTTGGATGAGTTGTTTTTGTTGTTTATATAAAATCTTGACCTCTTTCCAAACCAGAAATGTTTTTACGAGAGCAACTTGGCACGAAAGATAGGAAATTTTTTAAACGTTGAAGTTTTGAAAATGTTATTTTAGTTTGTTACCCCGGTAATAATTTTTACGTCACCATTTATTATTTAAAAATATTAATATTTTCAATTTTCTTGTTCTAAACGGTCTAATACTTACAATAATTAAATTAGGTACACTGAATTATTAAGATTATTTAAAGATTTAAATTGACAGCTGTCAAAATTTGATTGACAATTAAATTTAGTTTGTGCTATGTACAGTGCTATACAAAATAATAGGTGTGACCTGAAAATAGTCTTTAATTAGAATTAGTTAGTTAGAATTTGCCGTCCAAATTACATTTTTGGGGATTTTTTTCAGTAAACATACTGGAAGGTTATCCAATTCCATATGAACGCTGTTGTTATGAACGTATCCCTCCGCAAAAACTATGCTGTGACGTCATTGGAAGAATTGACATTTCTATATTTTTTTTATACAGTGTATTTCACTTAAGAAGAATATATAAAAATATAAAAGAAAATAAAATTAAAAAAAAATTAAAATATAAAGCGAAATACTAACGGTTAAAATTTTATTATTGTTAGGTTATCCAACTTGACTTGACTCGGTTACCGTGGTGATTAAGATCCAAATATTGCAGGTACTTGTCAAAATTGAAACTGAATTTAAGTTTTTTTTAAGGGAATAGTCTTATTTAATTGGTTTAAAAGGCTGTATTTAACTCAAAATTGGTTTATCTAGGCCATCTAGGGTATTATAAACAAGGTAAATAGATTAAATCAAAAAGGGATGTTTTTAATTTATTTCTCTTAATTAGAATCAACTTAAATTAACTACAATTAACGAATTTGTTATGAATGCGAGATAATCGTAAAGAATTCGAATTGTTTTAAAATTAATAAAAATTAAGTTAGAATTGATAAAAAAATCGGAATAAAATTTTATTATTTTAAGGTTATCCAACTTGACTCGGTTACCATGGTGATTAAGATCCAAATATTGCAGTTGCTTGTCAAAATTGACGTTGAATTTAAGTTTTTTTAGTGAAAAACACATACATAATTAATTGGATTTAAAGGTTGTATTTAATTCAAAATGGGTGAAATTATAAGCAAGGTAAGTGGATTAAATCAAAAAAAATTTTTTTTAGACCAATTAAAATGTACAAGAATCTAACACTAGACCTAGAACTAGAAAGTTTTAGGTTTAGCCGGGCGTCTAAGACAAGAACTTAGAAAAGTCTGAAGACGCACGGCTTAACCCGAATATTTCTAGTTCTAGGTCTAGTGTTAGTTCTAGTTTTACACTAGCACTATCAGTAGAATTAGCACAAGACCTAGAACTAGAAACAGTCTGGTTTAGTCGTGAAAAAAACCTTCAGTTGTCAATGTCAACTTTAATTTTATTATTATATTCGTAATCTTCATAAATTAACCTTTAAAGTGAGTCCAAACTTAACGCATTTATCTTAAAAAACTGAAAACGTCAAATTTTCAACTTTTAATTTTGACATATTTGTCAACTTCATAAAAGATCCTTTAAAATGAGTTTAAACTCGACAACTTTAATATTAATGGAAATACAATCACTTCCGGTTTGAAACGTCAACGTCAATTTTGACATATTTGTCATCTTCATTAAAATGAGTCATCATTAAAAGATGGCGCACTTATCTCAAAAAACATAAAAGTTAGAATAAAAAACGTTAAACTCGAAGTTAGCAACAATGAAGATAGTAATTTAATTATTAAATATTAACACCAACCTTAATTTTTAATTTATTTTATTGTATTTTTGTTTTTGTGATAAATTTTCAGATATTTTATAAAAATTAAGAATTTGTCAAAATATCATTGACATTTCAAACCGGAAGTTGGTTATATCTCGACTAATATTGGAATTAAACGTATCATGTTTGGGCTCATTTTAAAGGATTTTTCACGACGATTACAAATATGTCAAAATTGACGTTGACATTTCTAATCGGAAATTGACCATAACTTCATGAATATTGAAGATAAATATGTTGTGTTTGTACTCATATTAAAGGATATTTAATGAAGATTATGTCAAAATTGAGGTTGATATTTTAAATCTGAAGTTAGTTATCATATAATAGACAAATGGACAACTTCATGGTATTCTTTTATGATATATTCTTTATTAAAAAACCATTAAAATGAGTCCAAACATGATGTTGCTATATGTTGTATATTTTTATACTTATTATATTATTTTTATAATATAGGGTTTGACAGGTCTATTTCTAGAATAAAGCTAAAAATAAAGTTTTTTTTAGTGTCGTCAAAGAAATTAAATTTACAGTTTCCTGTAAATCATAACTAAAAATTTAAAAAAACATATTTATGATAAACCAAACGTAACCAAAACTAAACTACTAAACGTAAAACCCCTTTACATTTTTACTAACATTTTTTTTATACAGATGATAAATACATTAGAAAAATTTTACATAGGTAGATGAAAGTATCCTAAAACTTTTTTTGTCTTTCCAAAATTTTTCCAAAAACGACTAATTTCATTAGAATTATTTAGAATTTTATTAAAACGAAAAAAAATTATAAAGGGTTATAAATGTCAGTGTTTTTCTTACTATTATTATTGTTTTTCAAATTAATTTTTGAACTCGACGTCTCAAAATTTTAAATAAAACAATAATAATAATAAGAAAACCACTGACATTTAAACGTCAAAAATATTTCTGGCCAAGAATGCAAAGCCTACTAAGATTTTTTTATTATAAATTCATTCTAACTTCTGATTAACAACCCTACAGCTTAAGAGTTCTGTACCTGAGAGCTAAAGGGACGTAAATCCAAAATGACTTAATCGTGGAATAGCCGAAAATGTCTGATTTTTAACTTCAAATAATAATAAATTGAAATAATAAATTATTCTCATGTTCTTATCTCACAAATAAAGCTCGGAAATATCTGGATTTTTTAATATTAATAGTCTGTAAATATTCATTAATAGCATATTTTTATCAAAAATCTTTAGTTTTACAAAATTATTGAACTTACTACATTTTGACTCTAAAAAATTAAATGATTATTTGGACTTAAAACAAAAGAATTTGTAACAATATTATGAACTACAAAAAATAAGCAAACTTATTATAATTTTTTCTAGAACAAATTTGAAACTTTAAAACCTATTAATTTATTAATCATCATTAGGAAATTCTGGGGTCTCTTTAGCGTAGGTAAATTCCTAAAGTAATCCTGATATTCTTCAGGAACCCGCTTAAGAAGGGTTAAAAGATATTTATATTTGGCTTTATTTGTAGGTTTTCTAGAATGTCTTAATTGGGGCAAATTTGAAGGTTTTGGAAGGTTTTTATATAAATTAATAGAGCGAAAGTCTTCTTTAAATGATGTTTTAAAAAACAAAGTACCTAATGTTTCTCGTCGAATTTGGAGCCAAACAACGCTGGATAATTTAAACTGTTCTCCTTCATTACTTTTTTTGCTTGATATGAATGGCTGCTGTTAATGATGTGTAAAATGTACTAACATTTTTAAAATCTTCTAGACCCATAGAGAATACATTAATCATTGCAAGTAAAAATCGTACATAATTTAGTTTTCTTTTTTGTACGTTCAATAACGCTATGCTGACAATCTACTTCCATATGAGTATGGCCTCGTAATAAAAATTTATGATTTATAACCTGAATGCTGGGAAATACTTACATTGCATACATGTACATTACAATCATCATCATATTTCGGTTTTGTCCGACACAGTTGTCAGTTCAAAGTGTTAATGTGTCCATTTTTTGATTCCTTGGGATTTCTATAAGTAGCCATTTAAAAAAAAACAGAGAGTCATTTCTTTACCACCTCTTCCAGCTTTGGTTTCATCCCACATCATACACCAAGTATTTTTTTGTATAAGGATTATGTATTGTGTAATTTAGAGTCCACAACTTTCGAAGATAAAAGGTCTCCGAATTGGTCAAAAAGGGAGTAGGAAGGCACTTTTGAAGATCGGCCATTACCAGTTGTAAATTTTCATTACCTTCTAAACCACATTTCTTGTCTTCATTTTTCATTTGATATCTATTATTTGCATAATCTAAATGTAAATCTCGCTCTTTAGAAATTGCTTGTTTTTCTTCTGCGCTAAGATCAGCCTTAAGCTTTACATTACAATAATAACACATATCACAAGTGTCGTTGTTTGGTAAATGGAACGACAAATTAAGCATTTCGTTGAAGATTTTTCTAAAAAGCCGTTTCTTAGCTGGTTCTTCACCTTCCTTCCTATGTGCTTCGCAATATAATCCATACACTTTTGGCCATCATTTAGAATCATTTAAGCCATCTCCAAGATACGTGTTAGCAGACCTTCCTTGAGAATAATGGCTTTCATATGTAGGGTAGGCGTCAATGTGCTTAGTGATTTTTTCAATAACTTCATCAGAAATATTATTGATAGGTACTTTTCTACCTCTTTGATCAGGTACTGACATATTACATGTAGACTTTTTTTTTAGAACGTATAAACAAATTTTTTGCTGATCCATAAAGAGTTTATAAAAAATAATTTACAGATTTTATGTTTTTGTTTTCAATGAAGAAATTATATAGATTTTGTTGTGTACGGACTTTTGTAGATAGAGGATTTCTTGGTCTACGTCGTTTTACATCTTTAGTAAACACGCTAGAATTAATGAACTGTCTCTTGCACTCTCAAGAAAGAATTTTTTTCCAATAATCATTATGAATCTGCTGACGTCGATTTTCACATATTAACGAACGACACTTCTATGTACAACTCGAACCACATGGACTTTTTAGTTTTTTATTTAGTATGAGTTTGTTTTTAGTAAACAAATATAATTCACCTCGTTGTCTCCTAACTTTTCGTATATTTTTCTTCCAATTATCTTCATACCTCATTTGTTTATTCACTTTAATTTAGGGTTTGTGTTTAAATTACTTTCTACATACAGGTTTCCCAAAAGTAACGGATAAATTCGTTAAAACAGTTAAGAACAGTTTATGGAAAAATCGCTGGACGAATCTAAAGATTTAAATTTTTTGCAATTGTTTGGTAT